GCCAGGCAAATTTTCCTCTGCTTATCCCCTTGCTGCTTCACTGTCTTTAGTGGCACATAAAAATTAGGAAGTAATTCTTACTAGACAGTCAATATAGTGGTCTGACATTGGGATATGTACTGAATGCATTGCATAGTGACTGAAACAGCTCTGATTTCATAGTATTAGACTCATTGGTAGAATTTCATGTCTTGGGGCTACCACTTCCATGTATGGATGAACAAACAAATATATCATTAAATGCAAGTAATTTACAGTAAAAAAGAGTAACAAAACCAAATCACAACATTCAGTTATAGGACAACAAGACAAATGCTATTCTTCAAGCAGACTGGAAGGTAGATCTAAACAGAACTCTTAGAGAATCCTTGTTAATGATCTTCCAAAAATGTACAGAAAATTTGGGTTAATTTTACTACCTTTGATGGAGATTCTTTTCTTTCTGAAAATAGCTAAACTGTTCCTTTTAGAAAGATTCCAGGATCTCACAAAGAACAAACTCTGAAATGTACCTCATAAAAGATATGTCAAACATTTAAAGAAATTTTCTGTTTAACTTTTCCTTCTTCCCTTCTATACTTCAAATAATATCAGTTAAACATTATAGTCTATCATCAGACTACTTAAAATATTTTTCATGAAGTAAATCCAGATCATAGAATCATAGCATCATAGGGCTGGAAGGGACCCCAGAGAATCATCAGGTCCAGTGCGCTGCACGAGCAGGAAAGATATCTGTGGTAGGTGACCCCAGCCAGTGACCATTCAGTCTTCTGGCCCATTGAAGGCCCATTGAAGACCTCCAGGGTAGATGATTGCTGGGCCCATTGAAGACCTCTAGGGTAGGTGATTGCAGCACCTCTGGGGGGAGCTTGTTCCACAGTCTGGACACCCTAGTTGTGAAGACTTTTTCCTAATGTTCAGCCTGAAACTATCTTCCAGGAATTTGTGGCTGCTGTTTCTAGTTTTCCCCCAGGATGTCCTGGTGAACAGTTGTTCACCGAGCCCCTGATGTATGCCTCTGATATAGTGGTAAGCTGCAACCAGGTCCCCTCTCAGCCTTCTTTTCTTTAGGCTGAAGAATCTGAGATCCCTGAGCCTCTCCTCATATGGCTTGCCATGCAAGTCTCTGATCATACGGATGGCCCTTCTCTGGACCCTCTCGAGCTTTAGCACATCCTTCTTGAAGTGCGGTGCCCAGAACTGGATGCAATACTCCAGCTGCGGCTGCACCAATGTTGAGTAAAGTGGGAGAATCCCACTTTTTTGGTTTTACCGGAGATTCATCGATTCATGCATGCCAGTTTTATTGACCCTAGTGGTTACTGTGTTGCATTGCTGGCTCATATTCATGCTGGGGTCTATTGTTACCCCCAGATCCCTTTCATTTGTAGTGCTAGTCAGGTTAGCGATGCCCAGCCTGTAGGTGCGCTGCGGGTTCTTCCTTCCCAGATGCAGCACTTTGCACTTCTCTATGTTGAACCTCATCTGGTTCCATTCTGCCCAACATGCCAGCCTGTCTAGGCCTGCTTGTATCTGGAGCCTATCTGCGGGTGTGTCTGTGCAACCCCATATCTTGGTGTTGTCTGCAAACTTGGCCAATGGGCTTTTCACCCTTTCATCCAGGTCGTTGATGAAGACCTGCTCCACAAAGTTTTGCTGGCATAGCCATGTTGGCTAAGGGCATGAACAGATTACACTCCCTCACTATAGCAGCAAAGAGCCCAGTGTGGACACAGTTGTGTAATGAGGAGTGGGTGAGACAGTAATGCCAACTCCTGCGAAAAAATCATGAGACTCCTAATTTCCAAGTCAAATTAACTCTGACTCATGATCTCCGGATAGAGAGATCAAATCTCAGGATTTTGTCTTTTGGAACATGTAGAACAACGTCATGCTGGCAAGTCGGTGGGGGGACAGGGAAGAGGTGGGGGGGGGCAGCCCAAAGCCCCCATGGTGAGGGAGGGAATGGGGCAGTGGCTGGGGTGAATGAGGCTCTGGGGCCAGGACAGGCTGTGCGACAGAGTTACAGGCAGCACATCCAGGAGCACGGGGGTTGGAGGGGGGCATGCAGCTCCCTGACGTTGCGCACACTCCCGGGGGAGGCATGGGGGCCATGTGTGCCCCGGATTTGTGTGCAGAGTGGAGGTAGGCTGCCCACTGCAGGCTTGGGGCTTTGAGCCCTGCTGTGCATCCCCTGCCTGCCTGGCAGCTTCGTGCAGCTCTTAGGGCAAAGCAGCATGGTGCAGAGTCCCATCCTACAGTGGGCAGCCTGCCTCTGCCCCATGCACAAATCTGGGGGGCACGTGCCCCTCATACCTCCCCCAGGGGTGCGTGCAGTGGTAGGGAGCTGCAACCCCCACACTCCTGGACAAGCCGCCCACAGCTCTGTCAAATGACCCGCCCTGGCCCATCTGCATGTGTGAGTGTGTGTGTCTGCCCCTCACTCCCAAGCCACAGTCCGCCCAACCCTGCTGCTGCCGCTCACTCCTGACCCACAGTGCCCCTCATCCTGCCAGGGTTTGTGGGGACCCCCCTCCCCAGGCACCAAGCTGCAACACACACACACCCATAGCCCTCCAAATCTTCACAAATACTCCCCCACCACACACACACATGTGCACACGCTTAAAAAAATAGCATCTCATGATTTACATTCCAAACCTCTTGATTTTTAAGAGTTAGTCTCATGATTTTTGACAGTGGGATTGGCAATACTGCTGAGACACAAGCTCTGGGCACTGACTTAGAAGGGATGCAAGAACAGAGCTGCTTCTTCTGGTCCAACTGCCATTGGTGGCTTGGCCACCGCTGCTATCCTTGCTGCTGCTGCTACCCAGGACACAGAACATGCTTGTTATACCTCTGCGAGGACACATATGTGCCACCAGAAGATTGTTTCTGTCTTCTTAGCTAATTCTGTTCCAGAAGGCAAGGTAGCTTTATTGGCATAAAAAATCTTGTGGATGCACATTTCCACTAGGGGGCTGTCCCAATATAGGTATGCCAGCCTACCTGGAATGCAAGGAGGCTCTAATGCAGACAAGCCCCATGTCCAGTAAAGCACTGGTTAATAACGTTTCTTTGATAAGCCATGCTATCTCCTGAATAATTATGAGAAATCATTTTTGATTAGTGAGAAAAGAGCACATTCCTTATTCCCTAAAACTTCACCCTTGTAAGCATAAGTACACCTGGTACACAGGGTATTTGACTTACATGGTAACCCTAGTAAATAATGAGTAATACACATCACTGTTGACAAATCACGTATAAAAGTCATGATCGCTTCTTCTAGATGATATTGCACATCAGCAAAAAGTATCCTGTATTATATTCTTCCTTATGTGCTACCTCTGCTTTCCCCCACCCCATTAAAACTGATGCAAGTGTCAGGAAACTAAGCATGTGTCTGATTCAGTAGTAAGTACAGTGTGATAAACTGTGCTTAAACAGTTGCCAACAACTCAAGAGTGCCAGCACAAGAAATGTGTAGCACACTTCTTGGGCTACTTTCAGATATAAACTATGCTTTCAGAAATTGTTCAGGTAAATTAAATTACCATATAATGCAGAGCAAGGAACTCTATTTCTTTTCTGAAAAAATAGCTACATTTCTTAGGAGACAAAGCAAGGCCCATTGGATAAAGCTCACTGGAAAAATTAAAACATGAAACAATGAGGTTTCTATCCTGCAAAATGATTCTTGGATTTTCATCTTATTTTTCCATGAAATCCCATTGACATTAGCCATAAATATTAGTTCCTGTAACAGAGCTTGGGGCGCTCTGTTCTTTTAGAGAAAGAAGCAGCTCAGTGAGGGGGCACTGCAGGCCAGGCAGGATGTAGCAGCTACAGGTCATACTAGCAACAGGGCAATTATGCCAATTGGCAGGCACCTGCAGCAGTCTGCTGACCAGAAGTGGACAGGGCCCTGGTAGGATATAAGCCTGAGGCTTGGGCTAGCGGGCTAGCCTCTCCTTGGCAGCCACAGGGTGAAGAACTCCCAGCAGCAGGGCTCCTGAAGGGACTGTGGTGCTGCATTTGGATCCCCGGTGAGGCTAAGGAATCTCACTAGGGTATACCCCTAGGTTGGGAGGCTATCCTAGGTGAGGGATGAGGGAAAGTTTTCCCTCTTAAAGGGGCAGAGTGCTGCTTCCCCTTTGCATTTATGTTATAGCTTGGGGGCTTATGTTTGTTGTGTTTACACTGGCAGTTTGGGTTGGAACTATAGGGGCGGTATACAGGGGTCTTGTTGGTGAATGTGGGGTATGCAATCACCTTGAGCCCTGCCAGGGTAGGCTCAAGTGACTACAAAGCCCAGAGCAGGCTTAGAGTGAGGCCACAGAGACAGACAGGAGCCAGAGGACTGGTGCTCAAGGGGCACAACCAGACAGGGGCCAGCATCTGGTGCCCAAAAAAGCCAAACCAGAGCTAGTACCTCAGAGTCAGGTCTGATACAGTGGGCCTGGGCTAGAAGGCCTAGCGAGAGTAAACAGGCAGAGGGGGAAGCCCCAACAACTGAACGACACTACAGTAACACCTGCAAGGTTTGATGTGGTGTAGGAGAGGATTGGAGCCAAGCAATTAGCCCCTGAGGCTTGAGGTGCCCATAGTTTCACAGTTCGTGAGGCCCCGTAGGATGCCAGGGAACCCTAGCATCGGTTCAGTCGAACTGGGGCCATGTGAAGGCCTAGGGGTAGCCTCTCTTTTAAAATCATAAGAAACATCAAGGTGTGGCAAGAAAGATAGAAGAGAGGGCACCCTATGGGCAGTGCAAAGCACAGTCATGGAGCCACTAGGATGTGGAGCCATCACAACTGCCCCTGGGACCCTGATGTATTACAGTTCCATGTCTGTGGATGTCTTCCAATAATTAGGGTCTTTACTGTGAAGATGCAAAAATTATAGCCATGCATTAAATAAATTAGTGTTGATGTTACTGAGATCAGTTTCTTCACAGCAATAACTACTGGATAGTTTTCATTTGTGAAATGTAATGTGACAACAACATTTCTATTTATTAACATTCTATAAACAAAATCATATAGTGATAATTACCAAGCGTTGATTGAAAACCTGTTCTTTATAATAGTTATGGTACATCAAGAAGGCACACATCACTTCATCAAATACCTAACTACAGGCATGTCGCATCATAGGCGCATTTAACTTGTGCGAATTCAACTATACGTGGGTGGGGAGGGGGGTGGGGCTTGAGTCTGCACACGGTGCTGCCGCCATCCTGGAGGCCCAGCCACCACCACGCTGCCAGCGGTGACCTCCTCTGCCTCTAAAACCTCCCGCCGCTGCCATGGAGCCGTGCCCAGAGCTATGTGGCTGGCTGCTGGGCATGGTGGCTGGGTGGCACGCTGCCGCTGGTCGCACAGCTCTAAGCGTGGCTCTGCAGCAGCGGCAGGAGGTTTTGGAGGCAGAGGCAGTCATCGCGGGCACAGTAATATGCGATTTCACTATACGCTATTTTCGCCTTTACGCGTTGCCTTTAGAATGTAACCCCCGCATAAGATGTGACATGCCTGTACACAGAGAGATCAATTCTATACTGTCCTGTACTCTGTACAGTCATTAAAATTATGCAAAGTAAATGCATAATGAGTATACATGGTACTAGATCAGAATTGTTATGCTTTATATTTTGTGCAAATTGCTACCCACTGTGCAAGGAAGCGGAGAATCAAGACCACATTCCTACCCAAAGGAACTTATATTTATAAATTCCTGACCCTGTGAATACTTACTACTGCAAAAGTAGTGCAAGCTTGAAATAATTACATTTAAAGATATAATTTTATAACGTGCAGAACATTATCACTGGGCGCATCTACACATGCATTTTAATGTGCAGTAGACTATTTAACTGCACATTAAAATAAATGTAATAAACCATGACATTACACTAATGTGCAGTAAAATAGTCTACTGTGCATTGAGTCACTAAAACAGCATGCAAATGCGTTACTGTGCATTAGCACAGTCTAATGCGCATTAATTTAGTACCTCACATTGGAGATACTAAATTTAATGCACATTAGAAAAGGCACATTAATGCACGTGTAGACACTCCCACTGTTAACTGATTCAAATGGGAATTGAAGGCTGGGCCCTAACTCAAATAAAAATGCATTGCATAACTCTGGCATTTACAAGAATACTCGCATGGTTAAATTTAAGCATCTGATGAGGCACTTTGCTGAACAGGGACCTAACTAGGAATATCTCCAGTAAAGTCAAATGCAGTCATATAAGTAAAAATGAAATCTTAGCTAGTATCTCTCAACTTATTGTAAGAAACTCATTGTGAACTACACAATACAAAAGCAATCAGGGGCAGACCTGGAAGGTATGGGGGGCATGGGTGCAGTGTTGTAGGTGCACCCCCTTTCTGCCACCAGTTTCTGGGGTTCTGCCAGATCCAGTCTCTGGGGCTCCCCCTGCCCCCAGATAAGTCAGGGACAATGGCAGAGAGAGTGGCAGGGGAACAGGTTATCCCCCTTCATGGACCTACTCCATATGCCCAGCTCCCTGGTGTTCCCTGCCAGCCCAGGGGGTTTCAGCCATGCCTTGCTCCCATCTCTCTACAGTCTGAAGCATTGTATGCCATACCCTGCTTTAGGAAATCCTGGAAATATGCCCATTAAAGCAATTAAAAGAACCCTTTAAGTTTGCTTTATAACATTTTTCAAATGTGTCACAAAGTCTTTATTACCTGCACCATTGTCAAAAAGTTCCAGAATAATTGGATCTCCATTCTCTGGTTCGATAATGGCGGTCACATTTGCTCCAAGAACAGGTGAAAGCCCTTGACCAACTTGTGCATAAGCAACCATCGGACTAGGGTAGTAGTTTGTATCCCTGTTCATGTGGGCTTTCACAGTTATTGCAGGTATTGTAGAATTTGCTGCTCGGGAAGTTACTGTTATTGTTAGGACTTGAGGGGACAGATGAGTATTAGTGAGTGTGTATGTCCACATCCCAGCCTGAAAAAAAATATATTTAAGAGTTAAATAAGTCCTCTTTGTTTATATGTTTTAATTATGAGGACCAGCTTACTCATCTTCAGGTATGTAGTAGTCTTACTCTTAAGTAGCTCCATTGGAATCAAAGGGGCTAATCACTGAGTAAATACTCAGTATGAATACGATTACAATTTAGGCTGTAAGGGTACCTATATACAAGCTGCAAGGTTGCTTCAATGCACTGTAATTACAGTACATCAGAGCTGACTTGATTAATTGAGGCTGCTGGAGTGTGGTAATTACCACAGCCATTATCAAGTGGCTCTTGGAGCCACTCTACTTAAAGCATCCCTGGCACACTCAGAGCACGTGTATAAATGCCCTAATTCTGGAAACCCTTTCAGATGGGATCAGGCTTTGCTTATGAATGAATTTTTTATTCTTACTGGTTTAATTATGCAATGAAGGACTACTTCTAAGAGGAAGGATTAGATCAGGGTTGGCCAGCCCACAGTACACTTCACAAGTGTCACAGGCAGCTTCTGTGTGGCATGTAGTATACAGGGGAGGGGACAGGTGGCACAGCAGCAGAAAGGGCAAGAAGCAGAAAGCAGAGCAGCAGATTGAACACGGGGGCACAGGACAGGGAGTATGAAACAGAGCAGCAAGTCAGGGATTGAAAAGGATCTGAGTAGCACTTGGGGAGGGCATGGGGCTTAATTTATGTCATGCCTGCCAAAAAGGTTGGCCACCACTGAGTTAGACCATACAGTCAAAATCTGTGACCCATTCTAGGTGCCATATAATAGAAATCTCCACAGCTTTTGGAAGGAATTAAATATCTATTTACAACACTGTTATTTTAAAGTGGGTTTAAAACATTTAACCATTCATTTAAACCATTTTAATGTTACATATTGGGTAGGCAAATTAAAAAGAAAAGAATGGACATATTGGGTATCAACCTGATTCAGAGAAAAAGAGATGAATTCTACTCTAAAGAAAGTTTAGAATGATATAGCTGTAAGCTTAAATTGTTTCTTTAAACTTAGAGAGAGCTCTCCACTAAAGTGGAAAAATCAAAAAATCAAAAATCAAAAAAAAAAACTATTGTAGTTTGAAAGGTCTTACCTCACACTGTTAAATGACTCCAACTTAATGTAGTAGAGTTGGAGTGTTGTTTTAGCCATAATGGTCCAGGAAATATGTGAAAAGCAAGGTTTATAGTGATACTTTTTATCAGGCCAACTGTGTAGCCTGGAGAGATGTTAGGAAAGCTTTTAGGTATGATGTGCCCTTCCTCAGACCTGGATATATGTATCTTAGTTCATGCATCAGTTAGACTTGAATGAAGAGATAGCTTAATTTTTACCTCTGCAATGCCGGGAATCTGAAGACGAGCTATATGGAAAATAATATCAATGCTGAAGTTCTCATTGGTGTAGTTTTTTCCATGGGGATCAAGAAGAGTTATTTTCGGTGGTTCAGTGGTCTGCCAGGTAACTACAAAGAATGTATCCCTTCCCACTGTACTATCAATAGTCACCGTCCTTCTGAACTGTTTATAACCCTGGGTACTTTCACCAGTGCTTTCAATCTATTAGAAAAACATATTTACTGTATTATCCTTCAGTCCTAAAGTTGCATGACCTCATAAGTAAAAGTTTTTCATCTTACCCTTAATAATTAAATCCAATACTAAAAAAGGAAACTATATATAATCAAATTCATCTCTATTGTGTACATATATACCCAATTCTCCTTTTACACCACAGTACATGATTTTAGCAGCAATTGCATTGAAGTCAATGGAGTAAAACTAGCATAACTGAGATGATAAGACCTTACATGTGTTTCTTCTCAAAATGTTGGATGTCATATCTTCTACTGGGTGAAATTTCAGATATGCTCAAATATATAGAAAATTGGTGTTGGAAGGGACCTCCGGTCATCTAGTCCAACTCCCTGCTCAAACCAGGACCATCCCCCAACTACATCATTCCAGCCAGGACTTTGTCGAGCCAGGCCTTAAAAACCTTCAAGGATGGCGATTCCACCACCTCTGTAACTATTCAGCTATGAGGGACCTGTGTTATCTTTCCCAGGAAGATAGTAGTTAGATCTGTAAATTCTCTCCTGTGCTTCATAGTTTTATAGCTGTCAGGGGCTGGAAGGGACCTTACAGATCATCGGGTTCACCCCCCCTTGCACTTGGGCAGGAAAGACTGCTGGGGTCAATGCTCTCATATTAATAATTATTGTTCACTTAGTGCCAACACAAAGCTTCAGTGCTCTATTTAAGTCCAGTTCTACCTTTGAAAAGTGTACTGGCTAGTAGTAAGATATTTAGGCAGAATAAAAATACTTAGTGCAGATGCAAGTTATACTGGCAAAGAAGGTATTTTATATAGCTATGCTACTTTCTCTTCCATGTAGGAATAAACTATACCAGCATAAGCATGTACATTGGTATAACTTTATCCACAGTAAGGTAGGACGACAAATAAAGTACTACAGATTTTATGATATTCTGTATTATTGAGTCAACTTCCCAAATATCTCTTTGCATATGCTCAGATCGCATTCTGAATCTTTTCTGTCTCTCTATAATATCCATCTTAGAATACAAAAGATTAAGATACATTCAATATTCCTGACAGAGGTGTAGCCCATGTATTCTAAAGCAAAGTTATTCCTAATGAGAAGGAAACTGGAAATGGTTAAAAGTTTGGTTCAAATGGATTTGCAAGACTTCTATTTCCATGGCTTTCTCCTCATACCAGTAAAAGAAACTCTGCTAAAAACACTTCTGTCTTCTAAATGTCTCAGGTCAAATCAGTAGGCAATGTGTGATACCTGCTGAGTATGTTATAACTCCCTGGCACCTCCATATAAAAACATGTACATATTTCAACATGTAGTAGACTTTGAGATAAAATACTATAGTGTGATAGACTGTACAAAAGCCAGTGTGGATGCATTAGGGCCTAGTACGAATTCAAGTAAGGGTCAGATTATAAACCAGACTGTAAAGATGGTCAGTGTAAAGTTGGATAGAGATAAGGAAGTTGCTTTGGGCTGTACAGGAGGAAAAGAAGGGGCTTAAGAGTTGATTAAAATCTTACAAAAGATTTAATTCTTACTTTGCTTGAGCTAGTTTTCTTATCTCTTTCTCTCCAAGACTCATTCAAAATAATGTACGGAATATAATGCAGAATTATTGTGAACACAGTGGTGATGATCAATAAAGTAGGAAATGGAAATGTTATCTGTACTTATAAAACTGACCTGAATGGACTGATTAAAGGTATCTCCACTTCCTGATAAAATTCCACAGAAAGCATCAATGAGGTCATTGGAAATCAGTCTATCTGAGACAAAAAAGTTTAACCCCCCTGAAAAAGAGCACAGGTTTTATTTTGGAGTTGGAACTTAGTTTCAAATATTGCATACTGTTTCAAAATACTTAATTCATGAAACTGATAAATCAAGAGTCTTACCTAAACATTTTTCAAATCAGTATAAGGGGATGAGAGGGATACTGTATATCACTGATAAGGTCAGTGGTATAACTGGTGGGGGGCAATAGAAGCAACTGCCCCCAGTGCTGACTTGGGAGGGGGGCACAAAAAAGGGGCTGCTGCAGGCACCTGTGCATTCATGACCACAAATGAGGCAGCAACTTTCAGTTGCTGCTTCTACTTTGTCCCAGGTGCCTGAGTGTGTCCCTACACTGCTTTATAAGGTCTCAGTTAAGCTCTCCTAGTACTTCCAAAAGGTTCCTTTAATCAGGACACCCTGAGTTTACTATCTCATAATGACTCTTTTTATTTTAAAACCATAGTACATGTAGCAATTTTGCATTCCTTTTAGGAAGTATTCCAGCAATGTTATAGATCCAAAACAACATCTCTAAATGAATAGAACAAAACTAAGGTTACTTGCAGGAGCAAGAATCAGGCACTACTTTGATATATTTAGGGCACTACATTTATACATTTTCAGAAGTTGTCTCCTTCATTTTCACTTTTTTTGGCTTATCACAATTTCTGAGTGCCTGGCAACCTCAGATGTCCAAGGCTAGATTTTTCAAAGGTACCCAGCACCCATAGTTAGTATTCACTTAAATTAGAGACAGGTGCTCCTCCTGGATAATATTTTCAAAAACAACAAATGATCTGGAATATCCCTGCTTTTGAGTGCCCTGCTGGACATGAAGGGCAAGATTCTAGAAGTTGTGCTCATGAGTAATTACCCAAATAAACCCCATTGGTTTTACTGAAGTCATCTATGGCACAAGAGTAGCATCATTTAGGCCTAACATCTAAAGCAGGATATCTAAAAACTGAGACAATCCAAAATTAATGGTCACTTTTGAATTGAGCCATGTTGGCTGTTACATAAGAAGAGAAACATTAACAAGTGAATTACCAGCATATGTCCAAGGAATGAAGGGCAAGGACAGCATGTCAAAAATTTGCAGAGAGCTGTTAATGAACTTTTTTTATACAGGAAGAAGAAATTTGCAAAAAAATCTGAATAATGTTTAAATCTGAGAATTTTGCAATCTGCTGCTGAACATTTCAAGCAGAAAAAACTGGAAAATTTGACAAATTAGTAACTAAGTATTAATTAATAAACTCTTAAAGAATGGAGGGCCATATGTTAAAGGTACTTAGAAGCTTAATCCCCATTGATTTCAGTGACACTTAGGCACCTAAATACAATCTAAGCCATGTACCAGCTTATTTGCCAAATTGTTTGGCAAGAAGCTATTTGCCTGACATGTACCATGATCAGCTAAATCAGGGGTGGGCAACATTCGGCCCACAGGCCGAATCCAGCCCATCAGGCACTTTCATCTGGCCCGCACCAATGCAATGAATTGCACCCCTCCCCGCACTTCTGCGCACGAGGGTGGAACCTCTTGGGCAGGGCTCCTGCTGCAGCTGGAACCTGCTCGCTCGTGGCAGCAGGTAGGGAAGCAGGGGGCTGGTGGTGGGGTAGAGTTGCAGTTGGGCAGAAGCGAGAGTGCAGTACAGAGCCTTCGCCCAGAAGAGTAGCAGGAGCACAGAGCTTAACTAGGCAGGGTGTGTGTGTGTGTGTGTGAAGGGGGTGCGGGGGGTGTTGAGACCCTCCCTCACAAACTCCCCCTGCATGGCATGCAGGAAGTCAGGGAGCTCATGCCTGGCATGGGGGGAGGGAGCGGAGCCTGCCCTATTGCCAGGGCTCTGCATTGCACGCCTGCAGCTCCAACACTTGCAGCAGGAGAAGCCCCACACTGGAGCTTGCTGCCTCCCCCGCAGGTCTCCACACACTGCCAGGAGTGAAGGGAGTCCTGCCTTCTGCTTCTCCACAGAGTCCTGTATGATTTGGGTTTTTTCTGGTTCTAAGATGGCAATACCCCACTCCCAAAAGGAGTATTTGGGGGAAGGGGGGCAGCAAGGGGAAGGACTTCCAGGGGCAAAGGTCAGGCATTAGGGGGCAGGACCTTTGGTCCCAATGTGGCAACCCGGGGGCGGGGCAACTATAAAGGAGCAGGGCTACCTATGCGGCCCCTAACAGTTCACCAAAACTTATTAAGTGTCCCTCTGCCTGATATAATTGGCCGCCCCTGAGCTAAACCCTGTAACCAATCTCAACTACTGTCAGTACAGTACAGAAAAGTAGCTGGAAGAGAAAAGCACTGAACATGACAACTGCCACTCACCTGAAAGCTATTAGCAGAGAGAAGCTGACCAGCCAACTGATTGATTAAGTGAGCAGGCAGGCCATGCAAGTACAACATAACTGCTCTGTAAGGATGCATAAGGCAGCATGAACAGTTGAGCACAAACCATGCCTGCATGAATTAGCCAGCACACTGTGGGATGGGGTGCCTTTCATGCTGAAAATGGCGCAGGAATGGCAGATGGAATTCTTGCAATTGAAACAGCAGCCCACATCAATCGCAAGCATTTTAAGTGACTTTGACTGAATCTATAAATATCTGTCCTTAGACACCAACTATGATAACCTAGATGCCTAGATTATTTAAAACGAAAATGTGAGGACAGAATCTCAATTTTGCAAACATTTATGCAGATCTGAAAAAACCTGTTGTTTTCAATATTGGGGCAAGGTTCATTCAAAATTTTACCTGTCTCTCTAGAAAACTGTTCAATTTCTTTTGCAGCAGACTGTCCCAGAACAATGGTATGAATGACTGATCCACTGTTAATCACATCAGAAAAGCATTTCTTTACACCACTGTCTTCTCCATCTGTCACCAATATAATTTCCGAGCCATATATACTTCCATCATGTTTTCTGATCACCTAATAACAGAGTACCAAGTATTAATATGAAGCTAATGTATTATGCACTCTGCACCGTTCTTTGGTCTGGTACAGGAAAATGCAAAATTATAAAAGAAAGTAAATCAAAAGAAATATACTGAAAATTCTCCTGCATTAATCAACTTCTATGCATTTTATACCTGTTACAAAATAAGAATAAAAAATAAGGGCTAAATTAAGAATGTCCTGTTTAGGTGAGAGAAAATGAGGTACTTTCCATTACCTCAAATGCCAGCTGCAAGCCTGCGCAAACATTTGTTCCCTCACTAGTTGGAGCAGTTGGTAGGAATGAAGCAAGCTGTCCCCTTATATCATTGCTGACAATTTGACGCAACTGAGTTTTGATCTCTCCCGAGTGACTGAAAGTGACAATACCAACATAGGAATTTTCTTCCACGATCTGTAAAAGATATAGTTCTGCAGCCTGATGCAGCTGATTGATCCAATTAGTCTATATAAAGAAGTTCAAAACAAACAACAAATCACTCACAATAAAGAAGCCAAGCAGCTGTAAATTTTCTACTGAAAAGATCAGAATCAGAGAGACAAAAACAGCATAAAATTTTCCACAGCGTATATTCAAGAACAGTTTTAATTTAGAACAATAAAAAGTGCTGCTGCACTGGCTCCAAGGACCCTACTAAACACACAAAATTACAAATATAAATGCTTAGTTCAATCAGCTGTACTGAGCAACAGTATATGCAAACGTTTCAGCAAATCTTTGCTTTGGTGAAAATATTTCCAAGTGAATAAAAATAAATCGTCTAAGTGCACAAAGGAAAATACATTTCCACTAAAGAGATGTTAGCATGTCTGAATGAGAATTTACCCCATCCTTGCTGTTTGAAACATCAAGAACCAGGCAGACCACCCTATCTCTCTTCTGCAGCAATGAGAAGGTAGGAGGAGGTAGAAGGCTGGTAGTATTCAGTGGAGGATTGTTCTTAAAATCCATGGATTTCATTATTACTTCCCACGTGCTTCTATAGTCACACATTCTGTTCTGCATATTGGGAGCTTCTCTATTATGGTTACTTTCATCACAGAATTCAGCGACCTAGAAATAGGAACAAATAGACCAAAAATAGAGAGACCAAAAATAAAGAAACCCAAAGAAAGCCAACTGGCAATGAAAGAAAATAAGTATTGCTGTAAGAAAAATAATAATCTGGATTTGTATACTGCCTTCCAGCATTTGATCTGAAAATATTTGAAGCTACCACTATTATATCTTTTACCAATATGATAACAAAAACATCAAAGATCAAATAAGTTCCCAAAGTTACACACTTAGTGATAGCAGTGAGGCATAAAAAATAAAAAGTAATTTTGTCATCATGTGCTCAAGCCACAAGACTACTGATGCCCCATAGAAAGCATGACATCTAACACTTCTGCTTAAGCAGTGCACTTCTCTCTCATGCACAGCATGGCAATACTACATAAACAGCAGAATTCAGCTCATAAGAGCAATGTAAACCAATCCTTATTCAGGCAAAACTTCAGTGAAACAAACTGGAACTATCATGGGAATAAGGATCACAGAATTTGTCCTTGTAAAAGTAATAATATGGCTAATTGTTTTAACACATGTCTAATACAATCATCCTATTGGACATGGCTAATACAATCATTCTAAGGACATCCTCAAATATTTACAATGTATGCATTGACAATGACTTGAGCTGTACCAAGTGATTTGTCAACTATAACAAACGTCCCAGAAATATTCTAGATATCCTAGAATTATGGCCAGTCACATATATTTGAAACATCACTTGGTGCAAAACAATAGAGTATTATTTGGGATTTTATCATTTGCTTTAAACAACTTTAACATTTTAAATAACCTTAGCATTTCTAAAAGAAGTGGATAAGGACAAATTGTCAGGAATCTGGGGTTTTTTCTATCTGTACTCACAGATGATAAGCTTTGCATGTACATTATTGATGCCGCTGCAGTTTGATTTCTCTCATGAATAAATGCACATCCTTCAATAAAAAGTCCTGTTAGTTGATTAATGACACAATTTCCTTCAGTGCAGGATTTTTTTTCACAGACATAGATGCCAGTGAGATTAGATGAGCATCTGGAAGTAAAAATGGAATACTTATTATTTAGAAATGCCAAACTGGCCCCAATTCAGGGTGGAACCTGATTTTAATCAGTTTGCCTTGCAGGAATCCAGTAATGCAGAGGCAGCTTTTTGTAGAAGTAATGTTTGTATGTGCAAAGAAGAAAAAATTCTACTAATTTTTTCCTCCTCAGTCACTTTAATCCATTAAGCCAATAAAAAATACTAAGACTGTAGAATTTATTTTTATTTGGGGGGAGGGGGGGGTGTTATTCTACAGTTACCACTTGAACAGTCTTAGGAAAAAAGAACACATGACACGCCTACAGAAGCAAATCAGATTTGGGCCCTAGTGAAACAAACCATACTGATAAAGCCCACCAAAATTTGAATGTAAAAGTAAACTAATTAATTACCTTGTAACTTCAACTCGATTTTGTCCAGTTATATAGAAAGGCCTGTCACTATCATATTCATCAAACACCCCCCATCGAAGGTGGGCCCACTCATGGACAAAAACTCTGCCTGTGGGAATAGAGCATGTAAACTGTGGTAACTTTAAAATTACTGTGACTGTAGATGTTTGTAGTGCACAAAATCAGTGTGTACATAAACAGCCAATAAAGATGAATAGTAATCTCATTAGCAAAGTATCCAGTAACTCCCAGTGAAAACAGGGAGAGGCGTTAATTTATTTAGGTGCTTCTATAACATGCCTACTTGCCTAACTTCAAGCATCAGCTTTTGAAAATGTATTTGGTTTATTTGATTTAATATGTTTGTTTTAAAATAAGCTTCTAATTCATTATATGACTGTCAAGCTTAAAGAAATGTGCAGTGGCAGAGAAGAAGAACATGCACACTGAATTGCAATTAGATATCCAAGGTATTCAGTGCCACTTCCAAGAACCAGTGCTTTATTTTCTGTAGATAGGATGAGTTTTCTAAGCAGTAGGACAAGTCATACATGCTAAGGAAAGGTTCATGGACCATTTGCAAAAAAGGGTTAAAGCATATATTTTTCTTCATTTTATTACAAAATCAGATATGCTCCTCCTTATATGCAAAACTCTCACACATTTTCCATTTCTGAGCTAACCTAGCTTTGTTTTTTCACTTCATTTTATATAAAATAGCCACTAAATTATAAATAATGGATTACAAATTATAAATAATAATTATAAATCTGTCAATTTCTTTACAGTGGATATTACATTTCTACTGGTGTCAAAATGTGGTGTCTATATTCACTATGCAGAACAGAGACATATTTTTAATAACTTTTTACAGTTCTCTTCAGAGAGTTCAGTATATTTCAGGGGAATATATTAACTCTGTTCTACAAAGTGCCCAGATCATACTTACCTACTTCACAGAGATTTTGTGAGGTTTAATTAATGTCTGTAAGCCACTTCAAGATTTTCAGATGGAAGGAACTATACAAGGGCAGAGTATTTATTATTCTTGGCCTATTAATTACATTTTTATATCTATGAATGTGACAGCAACTACTATTACATAGAGAGTTCCCATGGACACATTTCTTTTGCCAGACAACTAAGAACAAAAACGAGATATCAAGAATGATGTCATAGATTTACCCCGTGATCCATAGACAGCAATCAACTTATCATTTAATAGGAAGGTAGGCGTGAAATGTATATATTTTCCCATTTTTCCACATTCTCCATATTGTAGGGTATATGGGTCATCTCCATGTTTCCAATAAGGAGCAGCAACTATGACATCTGCCTAAAATTATAAAAATGTTTTATTGAATGAATTAAGCATAGACATGTATTGCTTTGTGCTTGTGCAGCACCTAATATAGTAGGATCTTCGTAAATTACTAGAGCTCCTACATGCTACTGAAATACGTAACATTAGAGTTCTAGGAAACATAACTTATAAGAAAAGGTTAGAAAAGCTGGGATTAAATAGTCTGGGGAAGAAAAGACAGAGGAGGGATTTTAAAATAGTCTTTCAAGAAAATGAAAGAATTATAAAGAGGATGATGACCCATACACTCAGGAATAGGGACAGGGGGTGTGCCTCCCTCCCCTTCCCAACTCTGGCTGTGCCACACATACACAGTGAGCTCTGAATGTGTAGTGAGTTCTGAGCTCACAAGTTGATGTGAGCCTACCCAGAGCCCTTGCTTTTATGTTCATCCTTCCTCTCCCTCCCTCTGCTCCTTGGCGAATTCAGCAGCAGGGAAAAGCAGATGAGTGGCAGTGATTACCTTTCGGGCTACATGAAAGCAGGGGCTCTAGCTAGCACCTGTGCTTAGAGTTCACTCTAGTCCTACCGCCCCTGCTCAAAGAAGAAGATGCAGCCAAAGGGGGAGTGTGATTGCACTGCTGTATGTGCTCTGGATCTGCCCCTGGCCACAAGGGATAGGCCAACTAGTAATGGTGTTAAACTGCAAAAAGGGAAATTTAAGTTGGATATTAGGAAAACTGTCCTAGCTGTGTGTATAACTAAGCATTGCAAGAAATAACCAGAAAGGTTGTGAAATCTCTATCCCTGGAAGTTTTTAAGACAAACACATGACTGGAATGGTTTAGACAAGGATGATCCTGCCTTGAGCAGTGAGTTGGATCAGAGGACCTCCTAAGCTCCCTTTCAATCCTATTTTTCTATTATCCTATACAATAAATAGCATTGTGAATCTGATTTACATTTACAATTATGCCACTTTACACATCCCTAGCATTATAAAAGGTCTTGAAAGTGGGAAAATATATATTTACACCCATATTAAGAACTCTCTAAATTGCTAGAGTAGTGTAATATGACCCTAGTTAGTGGAAATAACAATCAGTCCTCCTATGTTTAAGAAGGCAGACACTACAGTCTAGTAATCACTGTTACTGTAAATTCAGTTGGAAAAATCATGACAACAACAGGAGATAAAAAGTGGGAGCAGCAGAAACAGTGAGTCATGGACCAAATCAATAATCCAGTGGCACCCCCCTCCCCACCATGGAAACACGTGTCCAAGGTACAGTAGTCTGTCGACTGAACATAGGCCTCATCAGCCATCTTCAGACACGCAGATAAAACAATCATTCTCAACTATGAGGGATTGCCAAAGAAGATGAAGAAGAAGAAAATATCCAATTTACTTGCTGGTTTTCCTATTTCAAGCCAAGAAATATTTTTCTGATACAGTCAGTTTCTACGTTTCAGATGTGCTATTCTATACTTTCTAGTTGCCTGCAACAGCAGAAACACATTAGTTTATTTTAGAATTATTTTCATTATATTAATCTTTGCCAAGTACTGATAACAGAGAATCTTAGAAGCATAGAAAATTAGGGTTGGAAGGGACCTCTACTCCAAATCCCTGCTCAAAGCAGGATCATCCCCAATTAGATCATCCCAGTTGAGGCTTTGTCTAGCCAGGTCTTAAAAACCTCCGAGGATGGATATTCCACAACCTCTCTTGATAACCTGTTCCAGTGCTTTACTAGTCTCCTAGTGAGAAAGTTTTCCCTAATATCTAACTTAAACTTCCCTTGCTGCAGCTTGAGACCATTGCTCCTTGTTCTGTCATCTGCTACCACTGAGAACCATCATCTTCGGAACCCCCCTTCAGGTAGTTGAAGGTTGCTATTAAATCCCTTCTCAGTCTTCTCTTCTCCAGACTAAGTAAGCCTCTCCTCATCAGTGATGTACCCCAGCCCCCTAACCATTTCTGTTGCCTTCCACTAGACTCTCTCCAATTTGTCTACATCCTTTCTGAAGTGGGAGGCCCAAAACTGGACACAGTATTCCATATGTGGCCTCACCAGGGCTGAGTCACTTCCCTTGATTTGCATGCAATGCTCCTATTAATGCAGCCTAGTATGCCGTTAGTCATCTTCACAACATGATTTGAAACCATTAATCAGCAATATACCTTTTCAGTATTTTTTCTCTAATATTCTATTTTCCCAGAGAGAAAACATTATAAAAAATAATCAGTATAAAACTGTAGGACAGGTTTCCTGTACCTAAAATTGGGGCAACTTCAACAAGAATACAGGCAGTCCTTGGATTTAAGACACAATTGGTTCCTGAAAACTGCGTCTTAAGTTGAAACATTGTAACTTGGAACCAATTTTCTCATAAGAAACAATGTTATAAACGGGGGATTGGTTCCTGAAGCAAGGCCCGATACCCTATTTTCACTAAAAATACCCCAGAATTTTGTACTCGATAATTATAGATAAGTAATATAGCTACATTAATGTATTTATATTGTAAATAGCAATCTCATTGATTTGGAAGGACTTCTTTGAGGTGACTTTGGTGGACTTTTTGAAAGGCTCTTGGCTGGAGTCTTCTCAGGAATCTTGGCTGCAAGTTCTTCTGGAGTCTTGTCTGCTTTCTTAAAGAAAGCGTCCAAAGAAGTTTGGACAGATGTTCTCCAGGGAGATAAGCGACACAGCATTGCACTGGATCAAGCGTTGTAAAGTTGAAACTGATGTCATAAAGTTGAAACAGGGTGTCAATTTATAAATGTAAGTGTGAAACATTGTAACTCGAAACATTGTAAGTTGAGGACTGCCTGTACCCAAAGAATCTCTTGGTTTAAGGCCATCAAGGGGGATGACGGAATGTGCACAAACTACAGAATTAAGGGATTTACTGAACAGCAAACTTGCATACTAGTTATTACTTGAAAATACTCATATAATCCAGAGGTTTTGTAGTTGAGCAGCAGCCTCAGTTGGAGATAGAATGGCCAAAAGAAAAGCAAGACCAGAAATACCTTAATGAGCCTTCACTTTGGTATTGAATAGTTGACCATGAAAGGAGATAAAAATAGGAAGACAGCAGGGCCTTAGTGCAGACATGTAAACAGTGTATACTGTGGAGTGGTCTGGTATTGTAAGGGCCTTGATAGTAGATAGGGATGATAGTGTCTATGGGGTTAAAAAAAGGACCACTTTTAGAGCTGCTTTTGATGTCTTTCAAGTGTGACTGTTGGGAGGTGGAAGGGAAGAAAAACATATCTTGAGTCAATAAGATTCATGGTTTCATGATCAGACTGGACAGTTGGTATAATTTAGTCCAACTTCCAGCCTAATTCAGGCCACAGAAATGTACAAAGTTCTTCAAACTTATTTAGCTATTGTATATCCACAGCTGTACAGGCTTGCTTTAAACAAAAGTGACAGAATCCACCACTTACAATTGCATTAAAAAAACTGTACCTTCTTCCTAATATGAATGCATTTAACTGCAGTTTCCAGTCTTTGGATCCTTTGTGCCTTTGCCTGTTAACTTAAAAGAGACCTCTCCTATCAGAAATCTTCTTACTAGGTAAGTACTATAAACTGTGATTAATGTACCTATTAAACTTCTCTTGGATAAACTAACTAAATTAAGCTTTTCTAGTCTCTCTTGGTAAGGCAGATTTTCCAGAACTTAAACCATTTTTGTAATTCCTATAAGACTGAAGCCAAATATTTTGCATGGTAAAGTCAAAGCAAAGCCAGCTTCATCCTTACCATAGCGTTATCCAGTTGCCACCTAAAAATACAGAAAATAAGCAATGGCACCATCCACTTGGGAATTTACCTATTTTCTTAAGACTTTATATGGAATGGTGGGTACATAGGTTCTGACTATGTTAATGTATACTGCATTTATCTATTGCTTTCAGGGTTCCTAGTAGATGGGCTAAGGCTCTGAGTAGTGGGTAGGATGCTTCTAATTCACTGAAATCAAACTAAACAAAGATCAGAACTCCTGATGAGGAAAAAAAGACCAAACATTAGGAACCAGCGTGCTTTAGCTCTGTCTATTGCAATGAGCCATCTTTGTTTCTCTTTGTTGTCTTGCATTTCACTTGTATGCCAAGTCTTCTGAGTCTCGAAGTCTCCACCCAAACAAGTATCACTGCTCTTTTAAGCTTTGTTAATGGGACAATGGATTAGGAAACCAATAGAGAAAAAAGAAAACATTGACACTTGGCCAACTATCTGAGACTAGTAGTATGCAAAAATTCCCAGGGGACTGCTATGTGTCACAGGGCATCTTTAGTGCCTTCCAGTGTAAGAGGCTTGAACAGGCTGTGGAGCTGTCAGCAGGTATGGTAAGGCCTAACGAGGTGGTCACATGATCGCAAGAGGGCTTGTGGATTGGACGAAGGCCTGGGCAGCCTCAGTATAAGCCTAGGCCCTAGGAGCTGAGTTGGCAGTTGCAGCTGGGGAGCCAAAGGGTGAACATCTCCTGGCTGGAGTACTGCTGCTCCCAGAACACCTGGATGTTAAGGGTAGAAACTATGGGGATGGAGGAGGTTCTTGGTCCTGGGGAATGACCTAAAACTACATCCTGCTGAGGTAGGATGGTGTGATGGGGCTGCCTGTGGTAGGGTGGTCCCAGGAAATGCCACACCGGTGCCTCCCTAGTGAAAAGCAAGGATGAGGTGCCAAATAGCCTCAGCCCCCACAGCCTGGTGGGTTACCCTGTAGAGGGGACAGGCAAAGGGTCCAGGCATGTCATCGGATACCTGGGGCCCAAGGGGTGTAAACCCTAGTAGCCCCAGTGAGGGAGTGTGTGTGAAAGCAGTAGGCTGTGTAGAGTAGGGGGGCCCATGTCCATATGGGGGGCCCAAAGGACTGCACACAGGCCAGCCTAAGTAGTTTGATTGAGTGAACCCAGTGGGAGCAGAAGGTCCAGGATGGAGCTGGAGGAACTATGTGGTACAGTGTTTGGAGGAGCCCGAGAAGGTGGACCTGCATGGCAGAGTGAGGGCAAGTGGCTCGAGAACCTACCCATAAAAACCTTGACTGGTCCATGCTGGGGCCAAGACCAGACCAGTCAAAGGGCCAGAGTGCTCACGAGGGAAAGCCAGAGGCTAGAAGTCTGGAGTCCCAACTTGCCTAGAGGCAAGGCCAGGGCCTGTGAGTCCAAAGGTCCTGGAGTCAGCCACTACCGAGAAGAAAAAGGGCTTTGGGAGTTTTGCAGCCCAGAATGAGGGTGGAGATTAGATTGCCTAATTAGGAGGAATCCAGGTTGGGTCCGAATTTCAGACAGGCATATAGTGTGGCCCAGTGTGGGCCATATAGTGATACCATCTGCAAGGCATGGGACATGGTGTAGGGATGGTACGGGGCTGTGTATTATGCCCTTGGCACTGGGCAGTAAATGGGCAGCCTCCCACCTATAAACAACTTCCAAAGTTACATCAAAGGTGTGGTAGGTGAGGCAGGTGCCCAGGCTGCCCTAGACAGGTGGGTGCACCAACATTTGGACCAGCTTTGAAACAGCCCCCTGTCACACTATGACCAAAGATTTGGCCTCTGACTCTCTTGTTCCACAGAAAAGGCTTTACCTGAGGCATGGAAGACAGAAGGTGCAGACAAAAGTTACATTTATCACGTGATCAGCTTCTTGAAAGCATCTACAGCTGTGCCCGTACAGAAGCACATGGCTACAGAGAGCTTTAAAAGTGCTTGATCATGCAACAATCTGAACCCTCATTACATGGGCATTCATATGAAGGCACTTCAAAGTAAAGTGTCTTTCTTAACTTCTGTCAGTGCGAGCTGGGAATACAGCTGGGTTGATATAGCCTAGCTCTGCTGCTGGTACTCTCTTCTGAATGGGGGTGGGGGAATGGAGGAGAGGGAGCTCTGTCTGGGGTTTGCCCAGCATGCACTGGAGGATGGGGCAGATGGATTGGAGTCTCTTCACCTTAGCAGGGGGTCTCCAATCCATCTGCCCCATCTTCCAGTGCAGGCTGGGCAAACCCCAGACAGAGTTCCCTCCCTTCTCTTTCCACCCTTCCCATTCTGAAGATAACACTAGAGCTGGGAATAGGGGGCCAGGGCTAAGGGACAGCAGCTGCAAACATGCAGCTGCTCCAAAGTGGAGCTTGATCCTCACCCCCCCAGACCCAACAGCTAATGTCTAATGGGTCCAGGGGAACGCTGTAACTGGACAGGGAAGTGCACATCAGTCAGTCTCTCCGAGATTGAACTATCTCTTTGTATACTGTACTTTTGTTTGCCAGAATCCAAATGTAAAAGAAGATTAATTTGGTCTAATAAAAGATAAAGTAATAAAGATAATAAAGTTGGTCTAATAAAAGATATCAAATTCACCCAAAGAACCTTGTCTGCCAAAGAAGACTAAATGCATCTAAAGAGATTGGATCAATGAATAACTTAGAGTGGGGAAAAATGACATGTTAAAAACTACCTGACTATGTATTTAAAATGCTTACGTGGTCCTTTACAAATCTTAACTAATTATAACAACATTTTAGTGAAATAAGTAGAAAATATAATTATCTCATTTTATAGGTAAGAAATGGCACAATGAATGATTAAGGGCAAATCTTAAATCACTATCTACATAGATACTTATGTGATGTTTCTCAGGGACTTTTGCATCATGACTGATTAAAAAATGAATGGGGATTATAGGATTTGGCCTCAAATAAGTTACCCAAAGCAGTTGGTGAATGAATGGGAACACCAGTATTACAATTTGAGACTTCTTGTATTCTAGACCCATGCCAAATCCACTGGCTTCTGCTACCTCTCACTTTTAACCAAGATGTTGTGGTTGTTGTTCTTATTCTTGTTATTCTTATACCTTAAAACCACATGTTACTTTACAGATGTTTAGAATATAAGACCTAACTAGTCACCAATTAGTGTGGTCTTATGTTCCTAACTAGTCCTGTGCCAATGGGACAGGAACAGGGAACAATGAAACAATCTCTTTTTTTCCTTATTTGTCCTTACTATTTATTGGATCACAGAATCTGGCTGGTGTTCTCCTGGTTGTTACAGATATTGTTGTGTGCGTACTTTGCCTTTTAATGTTCCTGAACATTACCTTTAACGTTACCTTTAAAACAATTATAACTTTTTAATTGTCAGAATATTTTAGTTTCTAAGACAGGCTTTAAACCTTACCTTGTCATAGGACTCTTGTTTTGGTTTCTCATAATTGTTTGCTTTCCATGTAGGAGGTATTAAAATCTTTGCATTCCTAAAATAAAATCTATTTTTTGTAGCACTGAATAAATAGAAAGATGCTTCTGTTATCATATCCTAGTAATAAAATGAACAGAAAGAAAAACAGTAAGTCAAGAGGACCATTAATTAAGTGGTTTGTTATTTTATGTTATTTGGGTATTAGTTCTGTGGCTTATTATATGTTATTATTAGTCAGCAAGCAGGAAAAGTGTTAGGCAATAATTCTGAAAAAGGAAAAATACTGAATATATATATACTGTGTATGTAATACCCTTTCCCGTACAAGGATCTCAATGTACCTTACAAACAGGCATTATTACATCACACTGCTTTAGGTTAGAATATATCACTTTAGAGACTGATGAGGCAAATCACAAGGTTTATGGCAGGACTACAAACTTCATTTTTTAATTAATATATTTTATATTCCAGGTCAAATCAACCAAATCAGTTTCAAATCATATCAATTGAGCAGAATACAATATTCATCAAGCTGGGGGGACTTAATAGTTCTAAACACCATGTACGGCGCTAAAACCAGCGAGCATCCTTCATCCCAGGCTCTCACCCTGGGACTTCAGATACTCCCAAATCCATTGGTAGGTGTCCTATGTGTATGCCCAAGTCCAGAGGTCTTGGGATTCAGATGCCCCCATTTGATCTTAGCCCACAAACTTTTTTTTTTTTTTTTAATGGAAAAATGTTCATGTTCCAAGCCAAATCCACCAAATCAATTCCAAATCCGTGAGTCATTCAAGAACCATATTTTGCCCTACTACTGGCATGCATCCTCCACCCCTGCCTGGGGCTTCAGATGCTTCTAAATCCTTTGACAGGCATCCTATATGTAGGCCCAAGCTCCCGAGTATGTGGCTTAGGGTTCATATGCCCCTGAGTTTCGCTTGCCCTCAGCTGTACGGCTGCAGGAGCAAGCTAGGGAGGAGTCTCCAATTTACATAAAGTCCACGTAGGTATAGCCAAGATCTTGCCACTGGAAGTGAAAGTGGGAGGCTAACAGTGCACTACCTCAGTCAGGCTACTACCCCCTGCTGAGAAAGTGGTTCTCCCCTACAACTAAGAAAGCCACCTTAGCTCACAAATGTCATTACCCAGGGAGCCAGGAGCTGAGTGCTGACCCCAGACCACCGCTTCTGCGCACACCACCTTGAGGTGACAAAATCACAGACCCTAAAGCCTGACATTTAATTTGCTGCTGGAAAAAATGTTTGAACCCTCTCACTTGAGGTCAGCGAAACCTGCCCGGGCTTGCCAGGCCTTCCCTTTCCCAGCAGCGGTAGGGAGTAAGGTTCGGAGCACAGTCGGCTTCTGAGCTCTACCTGCAGGCTCCGCTTCCTGGCAGACTGGGCACGGCCAAGCCCCCGCCTCGGTAGCCGGGCTAGGAGCGCCTGTCCAGGCACGGAGCAGCAAGGCTCCGCGGGTGCGTCGCTGCGGGGCTGTCCTCGCCCGGCGCGGTCCTGGGCAGCGCTGCAATCACGCGGGGAGGAGCGGGCCGCCCCCCGCAGCAAGACGCGCGTGCGCCCCGCCGGGGCAATGTTGCGGAGGCACCGCAGCCGCTCACCTGGATGCTCGCGAGGAGCTTCGGGTCCTCGGGCACCCGCGGGTGGGCGGCGAGGGGCC